CGATATGTTCCCATGGTGCTTGCCCCACGTACCTAAAGATGCGAGGTGGTATATCGAGTTTGGTATGAACGACTCAGGTTGGTCAGCTGATACCAGAACAGCTTTCAAATCATTGTATCCGCACAAAGCAATATCTTGACACTCCGTTGCCGAACACATACCCCATGCCCACTTCTTCACCAGAGATCGAGCCAACTCTGAATCCAAAACTCTTGCGGGAGCATCTTCCGCAGACAATTCTTCTAATTTTCGTTTCCTCTGGAGGCGGCCGCCGCGAACAGCGGTACCTGATGCCTGCGGGCGATCTCCCATTGAGCCAAAATGGCTGCCACGGGTGGCGCATGCATGCATATATCTAGGCATGTTTACATCGTTGCGGTGATGACGGGGGTTCTGTCACATGTGAAGCTATGAACGCATTCTAGGGATTCTGTTGCAGACTCTGATAATTGCGGCATTGCGCCCTATCAACACAATGTGTGACACGCCTCCCAAGGACCAACATCGAAACTCAAACACTGAGCAAAAACCAAAAATCAGTTTGCGTTTTTTCGTTTCGGAACAAAGTCAATGCAACAACAATTCCGTAGATTTTTGGTAGATTTTAAAATCTACTAAAAATCTACCAAAAAGTTGTAGATTTTTGGTAGATTTTTGGTAGATTTTAAAATCTACCAAAAATCAACCAAAAATCTACAGCTGATCTACAAGTCAGTTCACAAAATATACAGCTGATCTACAAGTCAGTTCACTCATATATATATATATACATATACACACATATACCTGTATATATATGTATGTTTATTTCAACACGTCTCTAACACAAACCATGGGTCGTCGACGTCGACGACGTCGACACGACGTCGACGTCGACGACGTCGACGTCATGGGTGCATAAAGCCAAATTGCAAACATCATGTAACATTATCCAGTCGCAAGAAATCCAGACCACGTTGGCAGCAACCCTCGCTCGCGCAGAGCCCGAGACCCCAGCTCACCAGGCAAGCGCGGCATATCTATCGCTGCCCCCCTCATTAGTAGCGCGGACGAGTGGGCAAACATGTTTCACGAGTCATTCCCAAGATCGGACTTGAACTTTAGAGCAGCCTCTTTCGTGATGTTATCATTGTTGATTTTTTCGACGAGTTTAGTCATGTGCGTCTCCGCAAGCTTGCCGTACAACCGCTCCCTGACAGTAGTGACGTGCACCCGTTTCTTCAAGCTGGTGAAGGCAGTGACCTCGAACCTGCCGTCCTGAAAGGGAAACAAACCTGTCCAAACTGTTTTTTTTTTCCCAGCCAGTTTCGGGGGGGGGGAGAAAAAAGAAACTCTCCAAACCAGTTTGGGACAGAGGACTGGCGAGGAGAGACAAACGGGACGAGGGAATACAAACGGTGAGACTGGGTGGTGGTGAGTTTTTGTAGTCAATCAACTTGGGTCCTTGGTCTTGGACAAAATGGCCCTGTACAACTTCTCGCCAGAGACGCTGGAAGTGGACCCATTGCCCTCGACCTTGCCCGTCTCATTGCATCCCTTCGTGATCTTGTCCACGGCCTTGGCCGTGCCCTTCTTGTTTTTCTTGGCGGCCTGCTTCGGCGGAGTGTACTTCTCCTGGGACTGCTCCATCTCCTTTCGGGCCTGAAGGACCCCTAGTTTGCGCCGCCTGGAGCAGGGGTCGGGGATGCCGTCGTCAGAGCTATCTGCCTCGATATCTTCGGGGCCAGCTTCACCACTGAACTTGAACAGCGCGGCGGGTGGGATTGTCACTCGTGGCGTGGCAGGTGGCGCAGACCGAGGTGATTCCTCTGGGTACCAAATGGTCGACGCGACGTCGGACTCGCCACCTGCCCCACAAATTGCGTCCAAGCCGTCCATTAACGACTCCAAGTCCACATCGCTGCCAGTGCGAAATAGTTCGGCCAGGCTTGTGGAGCTCTGCAGGTCAGTATCAGGAATAGCTATCTTGGTGTAGTTCTTCTTGGCCTCTGTGTCTGGATCGGCTTTGTCGCGAACTGGCGTCGTCTCGGTCGCCGCGTCGACAGCCGTGAACTTGAGCTTTGCGACAAGATTCTCCACGATCACGATGTCTGCTGCGGTGCACTTTCGACGGAACGGCGAAGATTTCTTGCTCCTCGCACGACCGTCAATCATCTCCATATCCAGCTTCCACTGCCTCACCATGGAGAAACACAGCCTCACGTGGTCCGCGATTCTGGAGGCGAGGAGCTCTGAACATTTCTGCAAGACCGACTTGACGGCCCACTCGAACCTCGACTGTATCATCACGCCGTTGCTCAACCCAGCATCGATCAAGCTCTCCATGAGATTCGAAGCACAAGCTATGTGGAATGGCTCGATCTTGTGTGGATCGTCGACCAGTGCACCTAGTTTATCGGTCAACGATTGTCTACCAATGAAGCGTTTGATGCAATCTGCATAGTGGTGTTCCCTAACATTTGGGTTTGCTGTCTGCCGAGGCCGCCTGGAGGCAGTGCCAATCATGATAGCGCTCTTGAGCCAAAATGGCTATTGCACGTGCATGTACGTGTGAAGAGGCTATCCGATCCGACCTGCTGCTCTCCGAAGGGGGACAACACTTCAGGTCACACGTTTAGCGGCCCCCTCCTCCTCTTCCTCCTCCTCCGCCCACTGGAAACGCGCGCCACGTACGGCTCGCGGGAAGTGCGCACCCCCGACCGCACCCCGAAGGCGCCTCCTCCTCCCCCTCCTCCTCCTCCTCCTCCTCCTCCCTCCTCCCTCCTCCTCGAAAAAAACCTTCGACGGTTTTGTTTCTCCCGACCCCCTTCTCCTCCTCCTCCTCCTCCTCCTTCTCCTCCTCCTCCTCCTCCTCCTCCCTCCTCCCTCCTCCTCGAAAAAAACCGTCGACGGTTTTTTTCCCCCGACCCCCTCCTCCTCCTCCTCCTCCTCCTCCCCCCCTTCGTCCCCTCACCCTTCCTGCGCGCCAGGGCCCGACGTCGTCGACGTCGTCGACGTCGACGACGTCGACGACGTCGAGCGACGCCTTGGAAACCAGGAAACGCAAGGATAGCAAGCTGAAGTTGGGAGGCGAACTGGTTGAGGCCCTCCCACTCCTCCTCAGTCGTCGTCCGTCGGAGCGCTGATTCGGCAGGGAGGGCGAAGACGAGGAGGAACGACGCCAGCAGAAGTTGCCATCGTCGCCACGACTCGGCGCGGCTCGAAAATCTGGCCAGGATGGCGAGAGGTCTGGGGATCGTTTTACAGCACAACCCACCCGTTACGTTCAGAAACGGGCTGAACTTAAGCTACACACAGCCTGATGGGGATAATGACGACGAGGAGGACGAGGTGGAGGATGAATGTTTGTTGTTGTTATTGTTATTGTTATTGTTGTTGTTGTTGATGTTGTTGTTTTTTGTTTTTCCATGACGCACTGCTAGATGCCCTCGCTCATCTGCCAGGCGCTGCGATGCCGCCTCCTGCGGCGCAGTTGGGAGGACGTCGGAAGAGGCTTAGAGAAAACTACGCCGCCTGGGAAGCTCAAAGAGTGATGCACTTCATCCCCTTGGTCTCCTTCTCGAACTGGCCTCCCTTGGACTGCGATTTGACTAACGTGATCATCTCGTTGTATAGAAGCACCATCTTCTTGTAGATAGGGGCCATGTTCTGCAAGGCCTGCTGCACGTCTGCCTTGAGCACGCTGGAACGGTCGGCGATCATCAGCGCCTCCATCTTGTCGGACGGCCCCACGATCTCCTTGCAGAGCGAAATCGCACGAGCCGACATCTCCTTCAAGCTTCCAGAGTCGGAAGACGCTGACATCTGGCTCAACTTGGCTCCGAGCCTCTTCATGCATAGAGTGACCCTGGTAACGGAGTCGAACGACTCGCTCATCAGCAAGAAATCGTTGTCGTTTGCCTTGGAGGTTGGCTTCGTGGCACCCTTGACTGCTTTCGGCTGCATCCACTCATTGTCAACATCCTCATTCGTAATCTGCTCGTCGCAGGAGGCCAGGATCGCCAAGAAGTCCTTGTTGGCCAATGCATCGTAGCTAGTGCTGGCCGAGTAGCCCCGATTGCGCGCGGTGGCCCGCGTCATCTTGTGGACGTTTATGTAGTACTTCCCATTGTCGACATTCTGCTTCACCTCTCCAGCTTCGATCGCCTTGGCCGCAAGGGACTCGTTGCCCGCGAACTTCGTGCCGACCAAGGTAAAGTAGTCGTAGCCTTCGGCCTCCTTGCTGTCAATATCTGTCTTCATCAACCCCTGGATCTCGGTCACCACCCGCTTCTTGATGGCCAGCTCGCTCTTCCCAGTGGCCTGCCGACCCACGTGGGCATTGATGATGCAGTTGATCTCTTTCTGCTTGCCTGGCAGCTTGTACTCGGGGCTCGTTAACTCCAGGTACCTCTTTTTCACATCAGGATCTATCAGATCTAAGTTTTTCGTGAACACGTACCTCTGCGAACGGCTCGTAGTGCGACTGTCGATGTCATCCTTGTCCTCGTCGTCTTCTCCATTGCGCATGGGCGCTTGCTTCTTCTTCAGCTGCTGGTCATCCGAGTCGTCGTGTTCGTGCCAAGCAGAGGGCCTCTTAAGCGCCAGCTCCTGTGTCGCCTTCGCCTTCGGTGTCGGCTTCGGGGTCGGCTTGGTCTTCGCCTTGGCTTTTTTGGGCCCCATCTCGACGCGAATGGAAACCGCAAAATATCGGGTGCCCCGTGGCCTCGCGAAATCGCAAGCTTGAGAAAAATGGCAACGGAGTGCATGCGTGTGCCTGTTAGAGACTTGAAAAAGCACTGGTTTGAGAAACAAGTAACATGATAATGGCTAGCTTGTGAAGCATACAAACGACATGATAATCACTTGTTCGAGAAAGCAGCAAACACCATTCAGAACCATGTCTGCTACATTTGTCTTCCAAACATCATTGCGGGGGGACCCTCGGGCGTGATGCAATAGGCGAAGTGCAGGGGGACCTCGGAACAGGGGGTGAAAGCGCCCCCCTGCCGCCGCCCGACATGCATATAACAGACAAGTCTGATAACATGTATGAATCGGAACACTATAATGTGTACTGCTGGTGACCGCCCTCCTTACAGTATCCCTTAATCGCTGCATATTGGCATCGTTCGTACTAATGACATGTCGGGTGGAGCTGGAAAGCCCGTGGTCGATTGAATATATCATTTGTTCACGTGCGCAAAGATAAGTTCAAGATAAGTTCAAGATAAGTTCAAGTTATGGTTCGTTTTATGTTCAAGATAAGTTTAGGTTAAGTTCAAGACAAGTTCAGGTTATGGTAAGTTCAAGATATGTTAAGTGTGAGAACATAACCATAACTTAAACATAGGAATCTGTGGTGCCCGGATGCTCAGGGCTTGGCGCCCGCTGGCTCCCCGGCGAGTGGGGCGTCGCGGGCGGTCCCTCGCGTGGTCTGCGGCGCGCTGGCTACGCTTGCGCTGGGCGAGACAGCGCTGCGCCGGCGGCCGCGAGCGTCCTCGTCGAAGCTGGCCGCGGTGGTGCCGAGGCCGCAGGCCGCGAGTGCTGCCGCGCGAGGAGGCGACCTCGGCGCCCGCGCTGAAGCGGCTGCTGGAGGAGAGCCGGGCTGGCTGCTGGCCGCGCTCGGAGGGGGCCGCGCTGGCGACCTCCCAGAGGGTCGAGAAGCAGAAGCCGGCGCGCCGTTCGGCCAAGGTGCTGGAGGCTGGCTCCCTGGACGCGCTCCGCCCAAGGACGGTGCGGGCGCCGGCCGTGCGGGGCCGGCACCAGCAGCTGACCGACGAGTTCGACGAGTTGCTAGCCGAGCAGGGCCTCCAGCTGCGACCGAGGTTCTCGGCCCGCGGTAGTGCCGCGCTGCCCTTGACCGAGTGCGACGCGGCCGCCCTGGACCTCAGCCTGGCCGAGTGGATGCTGGGGCAGTGCCTGGAGGGTGTCGACCACTGGCGTGGGGTGCAGATGCTGGCAGCGCTGCGGTGGGGCGACCCGCGGCTCGCACGCGACGGCTCCGCGCGGCTGCCTGCGGCTCGGCAGTCCCTCCGCGGCTGGAAGGTGCTGGCGCCGCCGCAGACCCGCTCGCCGCTGCCGGAGGAGCTCGCGGGCTCGTCGGCCAGGGGCGCTGGGAGGCTGCGGCCCCCGTGGTCCTGGCGATGGTGTTCTACCTCAGGCCCGGCGAGTGGGCTTGCGTTCAGGCGCAGCATGCCGCGCCGCCGCGCGGGGGCGGGAGCCTGGCCCTCCGCCGCTGGGCGCCGGTGCTTCAATCCCGCGACGGCTTCGACCCCAAGCCCGGCAAGACGGTAAAGTTCGACGAGAGCCTCGTCCTGGATCTCGACTGCGACCATTGGCTTGGCGGGGCGCTGCGCCGCTAGAGGCTGGGGAAGGCCCGCAAGGCGAGCCTCTTCACGCTGACGGCGGACGACGTTGCCCTGCTGTTCCGGGGCGCCGCGCGGCGCCTGGGGCTTCCAGGAGTGATGCCCCACCTGCCTTGCCACTCCGGGGCCAGCGGGGACTTCGCGAACCAGCTGCGGCCGCTGTCGGAGGTCATGCGCAGAGGCAGGTGGAAGACCGATGCGTCGGTCCGACACTGCGAAAAGGGCGGAAGGCTTGCGGAGCAGTTCAGCAAGTTGCCGCCCGATCTGCAGGGGCACGCCCTCAGGTGCCACCGCGCGCTCCCAGAGATTCTCTTAGGGGGGCGCGCTGCCCCGCCGTTCCAGGCGCGCTCGCAGCGAGGGCGTTCTTGGAGATCTTCGCCTGGTCAGGGCGCCTGAGCCGCGCGATGGCGCGCCGCGGCAATCGTGTTCTGGCCTGTGACCTGAAGCCCGCTCCCGACTTCGTCTTGCGGGGGCCACGGAAGCGCAAACTACTTCGTGGTCGGATCCAGTCAGGATTGGTTCCAGACGTGCATCTCGGCACCCCGTGCGGCATCTGGTCGCGCGCGCGATGTCCAGCCGGGCCTCCCTCGCCTCCGTTCTGATGTGCATGTGCTTAGGCTGCCAGATTTGTGTCCGTCAGCCCAGGCCGCTGTTGAGTTTGGCAACTTGATGATGCGTTTTTCAGGTTCAGTGCTCACTGTCGCTCGTCGGATGCAAATCCCTCGTGCATTGGAGAACCCCAGCGCCTCCAGGCTTTGGCTAGCCCCTCAAGTTGCCTTATTGGTCCAGTCTCTGGCTTGGTCCTCTGTCAGCGCGGATTTTGGTCAGTGGGGAGCCCCGTGGAGGAAGCGCAGTTCCTTTGTCGGCTCCCGCATCGATCTCGCTAGCTGTTTCAGAGTGTGTAAGCGCGCTCAGGGATGTTGCAGCAGGAGTGGCAAATACCACCAAGTGTTGGAAGGCCGGGCGCTCGACGGACGATTTAGGACCGCCGTCGCGGAGGCCTATCCTGCCCGTCTTTGCCGCTTGATCGCTGGTGTTTTGGTGTCGCGATTGTGGGCCGCGAAGCCGCTGCTATGCAATGCCGGTTGTAAATGCGTGTTAATGTTGTGACGGCCTCTGACCATTCGACTTCCTTGTTTTTTTTGCAACTGTCAGCTTTGGAGATTGTGGCATCGCGATTCCTTGTTTCATTTGACGATCGCAAGCGGCGAGCGTTCTCCGAGGAAAACAGAGTTCTTGATTAAAACGATTTTGGCACGGCACGGCCAGATCACGGAGATGCAGTCTAGTGTTTTACACGTTTTTGAATCCCTCGTGGTCATTGCCGATGTCGTCCATATTATGGCCTGATTACTCAAATCCATCTTCCTCCGTACCTCGTTTTGCTTGCCTTGTTTCAGTTTCCTCGGCCTGCGGTTTGTGTGGAGATTTTGGCATCGCGATTCTTTGTGCGTGTCTCATTTCACGATCGCCGGCGGCGAGCGTTCTTCGAGAAGAAAACAGAGTGCTGGATCAAAGCGTTTTGCGCATGGTACGGCCAGATCACGGGGATACATATACATATTGATGTATACATGCATGCATGCATGTACGTAGGAATATAAGCCGGTAGGTCGGCAGGTACGTAGGTATGCGTGCGTGTATGTATGCCTGCGTGGGTGTTTGTATGAGTATATGCATGCATGTGTGTATGTCTGTATGTATGCATGTTTGCCTGTTTGCAGGTATGTATGTATGTACGTTTGCAAGTTTGTATGTATGTATACATGCATGTATGTATGTATGTTGATATGTGTGTATGTATGTAAATATGTATGTATGTATCTATGTGCGTACGCATGTATGTGTGTATGTGTGTATGCATGTACGGATGCACAAATGCTCGTATACATACATGCAGGTAGGTAGCTATGCATGAACGTTCGCACGTATGTTTGTACGCATGTTTGTATGTCCGCATGTGTGTATGTACGTATGGTTATATATACATATATGTGTGTGTGTACGTGCGTCTGCATACATGTACGTCCGATATATATATATATATATACATACGTACATACATGCATACATGCATGTATGTAAACATATACGTCTGTGTGGATACATGTATATAAATCTAGATGGTTACTTATCCATTTATGTGTGGACGGATCTATGCATGCATGCATGCATTTGATCATGCATGCATGTATACGTGTGTATGCATCTATCTCTGTGTCTAGCTTTCCGTCCGTCTCTGTGTGTCTGGATGCATGTATGTTTGTATGTATGCATGTACGGATGTATGTCTATAAGTATGTATACATGTTCGTACAAACATAGTGACCCACGGCCTATCCCGCCACCGTGCCTGGGTTGTGGATTGGAGGCATCTTGGGTATTCGTTTGGAAATCGTGGGAGGCCTGTTGGGGTCCGTTTGAGGGCCTCTTGGTGCCTCCTTTTGGACCTCCTGGGGGTCCCCTCCCTGGCGGCGCCTCCGGCGCCGCCCCAAGCGCGTTCCGCGCGCCGGGGTGGGGGATCCGGCATGGATCCAAGAAATCCGCGCGGATCTCCAAAAGTGTATGTTTATGTGTTTTTTTGTTCCTCGTGTTGACCACGCTCTTAGACTGGGGCGTCAGTTGCCAACGGAAGGGGGCTGGGGACTCCTTGATGGACCTCGGTTAATGCAGGCGTCCATAGAGCTGGGTGCAAACGTACCTTCACCTTGCTTACATTTGCACAGGCAGTACAGTCAACCCGAATAGTGAGGGTGAGCGACTTCACCAAGGTACCTTTGCAGCCTTACCCTTCGGCCCATCGTTAGCCGCTTTCGCTGGCCGCGCCCTGCTCGAAGAGTGTCGACATGGCCTTCGAAGGCTGGTTGGTTGTAAACCGGTCAGCCAATTCCCAGATTCCTCCCTCCAGCCCTCCCCTCCCATTTCTTCCTTTCGCCCTCCCCTCCCATTTCTCCCTCCCGCCCTCCCCTCCCTCCCGCCCTCTCCTCCTCTTCCCTCACTCCCGCCTCCTCCCCGCCCTCCGTGCCTCCTCCCCCCCCTCGCCTCCCTCCTGCCTTCCCCTTCTTCCCTCCTGCTCCTGCCGTCCGGCGCCGCCGAGCGCGCCCCGGACAGAGGCCCCGGCCGCCGGCGCCGCGTGGAAGCGGAGGACGCAGCGGCGGTCCAAGGCCACCGCTCGGGGGCAACGACCTGGGAGGGGAGCCTGGCTCGTGCGTTCCCCCCGTCCTCTTTCAAGAAAGAAAAAAACCCGTCCCGACCTCGAGGATCGGCGTTTCCTGAACGGCTCTCGTTGGGCGCTTGCGAGACAGCCCCGTCTCGGGCCGGACGAAAGGAGGGGATATGGAAAGGGGGGGTAACGAAATCTCCCGCAGGCAGCTGGTTTCGGCCCCGCCGAGGGGCCCATTCCTCGATACATGGCCGCCTCCGGCGCCAGGAGGCGCTGGGAAAATCAGCCACGTGAGCTGATTCTCAACCCCCCCGCCTGCTATCCCCCAGCCCGAATGTCCTGTTCGATTCCTTCCTTGGTTGCGTCTGCTCATCGGATTCGCTCGTCGGGTTGCTTCTTTGCGGGTGGATTCTCCGTCCTCTTGCCCTCCTCGCAGTCCTTGTCGTCGTCTTGTCCCCGGCTGCCGGAGCCACGTGGGAGCGGAGGGCTCAGCGGCGGTCCAGGGCTGCCGCTCGGGGGCAGCGGCCGGGGTGGGCTCGGCTCGGTCGTTCCCCCCTCGGTCCTCCTCGTTGTCGTCGTCGTCGTATTCCTCCTCCTCCTCCTCCTCTCCCTCCTCCTCCTCCCCCCTCCTCCTCCTCCTCCTCCTCCTCCTCTCCTCTTCCTCCTCCTTCTCCTCCTCCTCTCCTCTCTCCTCCTCCTCCCCTCCTCCTCCTCTCCTCCTCCTCCTCCTCCTCCTCCTCCTCCTCCTCCTCCTCTCCTCCTCCTCCTCCTCCTCCTCTCTCCTCCTCCTCCTCCTCCTCCTCCTCCTCCTCCTCCTCCTCCTCCTCCTCCTCTTTCTCCTCCTCCTCCTCCTCCTCCTCCTCCTCCTCCGCCGAATCTTGTCCATGGGCGCGGTGTTCGCCCTGAGCGGACGCCTGGCTGCGCGGTGGGCTTGACCTCCTCGGCGGGGAGGCAGGCTCTCTTTCCTTGAGCCCGCGGGGGGTGGAGGCCACGGCGCGGATCTTCTGCCGTGAGACAGTCAAACGGCTCAGAACAAGAAGCCGCCATTGGGATCCCTTAACGAAATTACCCAACAAATCTTTCTAATAGCGGCGACGGTGAAGAGGCGGGTCGAGGAGGGCGAGGAGGTTGGCGAGTGAAAACGTGCATTTCCCCGACTGTCTGACGGAAAAGACGGCCGCTCAGAAAAGGAGGGAACCCTTGGGATACACCCTAAGGGGGCTATTCGGACGCACCCTTCTCTAGCATGGACGCCCAGGGGCGGTCTCGAAAAGTTTGGTTCATTCGAGAATCCCACGAAGCCTGGGATAGGGGTCGACACATCCCCTGTCGTACTCCTTCCGACCGAAGTGCACTGCCGCTGGCCCCGACGATCTCCTTGGTTCCCTCCCTCGGGCCCGACGGCCGACCCCGCCCGGAGGCTTGGGTCGCCTCGGTGCGCATTCGGCCCTGCAGGGAGCGATGGCATCCTGCACCTTCCGGCAGCGAGCCAGGGGGGCAAGTGAGAAGGGGCGGAGGCGCGGAAGGTCCCCTTGCCTTCTGACGAGTTTTCTAAGCCTTTGCCTCCCGCAGGGAGTATTGGCACTGTAGTGCGCTTCGCGTTGGGAGTACAGTGCAGACCCATGCCAGGAGACACCCTGCTTGCATGCCTCCAGCGTGCCCTGTGCTTCTTGGGATATGATGGCTTTGCGATGGCGAGCGCGACGCTCCCACGCCAAGATTCGGTGGACGCCCTGGGGTCTCAGGGGTGGGTTTCTTGTGGAAGGTCTCTCGTGGTCGAGCCCCCTTGAATGTCCTGTAGGTGTTGCCGCTTGCCCCGATGAGCTCCCCGGCCTCTCCCGGAGGGCCGACCGCCGACCAGGCCCAGAGGGCAGGCCAGCGCCTCCCGGGCAGGCAGGGTTTCGGGCCGGGTCGTGCTGGCCTGCATCCGGCCCTGCAGGGAGGGAGGGCTCGCAGAGGTCGGGGGCGGCAGAGAGGGGGGTGATGACCAGGGGGGGGGGGATCATCACTGCGGGGGCCATGATGTCTCCCCAGGTGTCATGGCGCCTCTCCTGATTTCAGTGCGTCTCCACCCCCCCCCCAGGCTGCGCACATGCCGCCATTGCGTCCCCCCCTCTTGGACGCCCCCCTCTTGGGCGCCCAAACAGACCACGGACGGCTTGGCGAAACATGGTGAGGAAGATAAGTCGAGTAACGCGAGGTGAAGTTCAGTCTGGGGTAACTACATTACGACTGCGACGGATCATGTGGAAACCACGTGCGCTTGGTGTGGTACGAGAGCGTGGAGGTGACTCAGGCGGGCTGGAAAGCCAAATTCGCAGGCGCACTTTCGCACGACGATCCGCAGAAGTGGAGTCGCATATTGCTTCAGTGGAGCCCGTGGTTCAGATGCTTACTCAAGCGGAGTCCTGGCTGGTCTCATCATCGCTGGAGGTGTTTGGTTGCAGTTCAGGCAGAGTAACTGTGATAGTAGTAGGTATTGCGGAGTATGTCACCCAGCATATGTAGAAATGTACGCAGTGTTGTGAGCTAGCGGTGCATGAAGCTTCTCGCCTTGGGTACCGCCTGCCTTTTTGAGGACGGTTCCTACGGGAGCCGGCGCGCAGGCTGAAATGAAGTGAACCCAAGTTCGCCTCTACCAGAATGGGCGGGTGACATGTTTTGTTTGTTCTCCACCTTTCACCTCTCTCCCTTCCTCCGCTCTTCCTCAGTCCTCCTCCTTTCCACCCTCTTCCCCCCGCCGTTCCTCGTAGCCATGTGTGCCAACGCTGGCCCAAAACAGTGAGCTATGCTGTGCGAGCTATCTGGTGTGAACACCGAGGTAAGTTATGTGGCGTAAGCTGTCTTATCCGAACCATGTCGTGCACGCTTTGTGGTGTAAGCTACGTTGGAAACCATGAAGGCGTCATTCCCACTGCTCTTGCAAACATCATCCTTATGTACCTGCAACTGGTTGGCAACGCCCACCTGGAAAGGGGTGACGACGATGGCGATTTTCTACGCTGGTGATTCCGATGACGACGTTTGCGCCGGCGACGATTGTGATGATAGTGAAGCTGATAGTGATGATAACGACGAAGCTTCAATGACCCTGGCATCAGTAACGCGCAATGGATGAGGTGGATTTGCAAATTCCAACTCTTGTGTGTTCAATCACACATCCCACACCCATTCGCATCTGCTTGGCAACACTCGAGCATTCTTCCTGGGGCAGTGACTATCAGTGGCGTGATCTATGTGGCGCTCGTGAGGTGTAACCTGCGTGGTGCGAAATACGTGATCGACGCCAAACAAAAAGAGATCTTCTGCGCCGACGTTGGCGCGCAAACTGTCCGCGTGGGGCCGCCCTTGAGCGCCCTCGTTTCCAATGTAGCGTTCCGCGCTGGCGGCCTGCGTAGGCCACCGCGTGAGATCGCTAGGCGAGGCGATCCCGAAAGAGCTGCGTCTCCGAGGGTCGAAGGAGTTGGCATCTTTTCCTTCGGCCGAAGGTAGTCGGGGGCGGAAAAGAGGGGGTGATGACGACTAGGGGGGGTGGATATCATGGCGTGGGCCATGATATTTCCCCAAATTTCATGGCGCCTCTTCTTATTTCATTACGTCCCTGGCCCCCCCGCTGGGCCGCGCACGCGCCGCCGGTCATGATTTGCACCCCACCCCTCTTGAACAACCCCCTCTTGGCCGCTCCCGACCCCTGCCCAGCAGGCCGCCCACTGGGCAAAAGCTGGCGCGGCCCCGCCCAGCGCAGGGGGCGCGCCCGCGCGGCGCCCTCGGCCGCCGCTGCGTCGAAGCCTCGGCGCAGACCCGCCCGGCGCCGCCCACCGGGCAAGACCTGGGCGCACCCGCCCTGCGCGCGGGGCGCCCGCGAGGCGCCCACGGCCGCCCTTTTGCCGAAACTACGACAAAAGCCCGACCCACGCATTTTTTTTCCGTGCAGCGGAGGCGCGAGCCCGTCCCTCCTGCGCCCTGTTCTATTGTTTTCCCTTGTGCTTCCGTCTCTCTCCTTGCCCCCCCCCCCCCCCCCACATTACTGTGCCTCTGGCCCCCGCTGTCCTGCTCCGGCCCTTTTCCCCAGGTACCTATTTTTTTCCGCCTCCCCCCTCCCTTGGGTTCATTGTTTTTCGTCTCCTCTGCGCCCCTAATTATTGGTAGCCGTTACTGCTCCGGCCGCACCCACTGCCGACAATGGTTTTTGGTGGGCTCCAGCCGCTCGGGCGGGCGGTGCTAGGCCCAGGTCGGCAGCGAGGGTGCGAGCGGGAGGTGGCTCGCAGTACGTCGCCCTCCTTTTTTGCGGCTGCGCTCGGAGGGGCTCGGGCTGGGGTTCCGTTGTCTTTCTGTGGAGTACCTTGCGCTGCCTGGTGCTGGGAGGTGACAGCGATTGCCCTATTGAAGGAGGCGTGTGTCTCACGCGAGAGCGCCCACGAGCACGGCCCAGACTCGCCGTTGCCGACATGGCCGCGACGGCGCCCGCAGCGTCGCCGCCTCCGCCGACGGCCTCCCCGACTGCAGGCAGATGTGATCACTGGTGCTGGTCGCGTTGTGCGTGTGCGCGTTCGTCATTGTCTTGTCTGTCCCGTCTGTTCCCTTCTTTACTTACCAGCCTGGAACATCCCTATCCCTATACTGGGCACCTCCTCATCACGATGCCAATCTTAGGGATTCCCTTATTTTTTGAGGACGAATCCCTAAGATTGCCATCGCCTTTTGGCGTGTTAATCTTAGGGATAGGGATTCGTTCGAGGCTGGTGAAACTTTTCCCCGTTGCCCCCCGTCCGTCCCCTGGAGGCTGCCCCCCCGTAAGTGTCCGTGCGCGCGCTCGCGTGCCGCGTCGCCGCGCGCGTGGCAGCAACGCCGCAAGCCGCCGCCATTGCGTTCGGCCGGGCCGTCTGGTTCGAAGACCTCGCGGCCGGTGCCGCCGACCCCGAGAGGGAAGACGAGGACGACGAGGGCGAGGACGAGGAGGAAAGAGGATGGGCAGCGGTGGGAGGGGAAGAACGAGCAGGAGGATTAGGAGGAGGAGGAGCAGGAGGAGGAGGAGGAGCAGGAGGAGGAGGAGGAGGAGGAGCAGGAGAAGGAGGAGCAGGAGGAGCAGGAGGAGGAGCAGGAGGAGGAGGAGGAGGAGGAGGAGGAGCAGGAGCAGTAGGAGGAGGAGGAGGAGGAGGAGGAGGAGGAGGAGGAGCACGCAGAGGAGGACGCCTTCCGCGCCTCGCCGCCACCTCGTTCGGCCAGCTAGCCCCTTCTTCGGCCGCGCTCCCGAGCCCTCCGCGGTGGTGCTGCGCCGGAGAGAGAGAGAGAGAGAGAGAGAGAGAGGCGGGGGCCCGGTGCGTCGTGGTGGCCAGCCCTTATCGTTTTAAGTCGGGCCTGTCCCTCTACAGGGGGAAAGTTCAAAAATAGTAAATTACCCCAGTGCGACCCTACCTAGAAGTTGGAGCCCCTAGGAAAGCAGCACTAGTTGCTATGCTATGCTATGCCATGCTATGCCATGCCATGCCATGCTATGCTGCGCTATGCTATGCTATGCTACGCTATGCTACGCTTTGCTAAGCTATGCTGCGCTATGCTATGCTATGCTTGGCTATGTTATGCTATGCTATGCTATGCTAATGCAGCGCTTCGCTATGACAAGCTAAGCTAAGCTAAGCTAACCCTCTAGGCAGAGCCTAGGTAGGGAATTACACCGCTAGGCAGAGCCTAGCTAAAGCTCAGCGAAGCTAAGATGACGGTCAGCTAAACTAAGGTAAACCTGAGCTAATATGAAGCTAAGCTAAGCTAAGAATAAATAAGCTAAGCTAAGATGAGATAAGCAACGCTAAGCTAAGGGGACGTAACTGGGGGAACCGCGGGGCGGATACTGGGGGAACCGCCCGGGGCGCTTTCCACTGCCCGGCCCCTTTAAGCCCAGAGAGTAAGAACCCTTCTAGGCAGAGCCTAGGTAGGGAAAAATAGCCTTGGGACTTTTGTTGAGTCTTTTAGAACATCGTTTGAATATGTTTTGGGTAAGTTGTGGGAACAGGTTAGGTCACTTCAGCCCCCTGATAGAGACGAGGCTACGTGAGGTGTGGGCCCGCGACGCGTGGCGGCGCTGTGCCTAGGAACGTGCCGGCAAAACCATCAAGAACCTCGGAGGCGTATTGGGCGAGTGGCCGGTTGTCGAGCGAGTGCGCTCGGCCTTCTCTGCTTGGATACCTGGCCGTGGCCGTGTGTTGAGCGTCCCTCCAGGTCTCGAGCTTCTCCCGCGTGGGCTGGTGCCCATCTGCCCAGGCATGCTTCGGAGCGGTGCAGCCTTGCACGAGGACGCTCCCGACGGATGCTTTACCACAGCGCAGCTCCTCAGACGACACAGCATCGTATGCGTCTGGATTGTTGCGCCTCTCGGCGTCTAGGGACGAAGCGCCACGGCGCACCTCCTTGCGGTCGACACCGAGTGCATCGGGTGGCGATTCGGACGAGTGAAGCGGCACAGGGCTGGAGAGACACTCGACAGGAAGCAAGCGACAGGACACCAGAGAGACCACAACAGCTCCCAGCGACAAACAGCACCAGAAAGGTAGCACTTTGCCCCCTGCCCCCCCCCCCCCACGCCCAGTGCCAGTGATGCCCGCCGGAGTCCTGCTGTTCCTCCTGCTCGTCCTCCTCGCAGTCCTCTCCCGCCCCCCCCCCTTCGCCCCTCACGCCCGCGCCCGCATCCCCCGTAGTCCGGGGAGGGTGCCCGTAGTCCGGGGGAAGGGTAATGCCCTGTTGTCCGGGGGGGGGTACCTGCAGTCTGGGGTGGGGCACCTGCAGTCCAGGGGAAAGGTACCTCAAGTCCAGGGGAGGGGGTACCTACAGTCCGGGGGGGAAAACGTGTTCACGCGTCAACGCACGCGTGGATGCAGTCCGGGATTGTCTTGCATTGCTGTGCATCGCTGTGCACTGTTTTGTATTGCTTTGCATGCTATTACTTACCTTGCTTTCATTTGCTCTGGATTGGGTTGCTTTGCAATGCTGTGCATTGCATCGCATTGCTTCGCATTTCTTTGCATTGCTTTGTATTGTGATTCATTGTTTCTCGCTGCTTTGCATTGCTGCGCGTTGTTTTGCGCGGCTTTCTATTGCTCTACATCGTGTTATGTTGCATTGCTCTGCGGTTCTTCACATCACATAGAGTGAACCACATAGAGAGTACCACATGGATTGCACGACCTAGACTGCATCACCTAGGTTGCAACGCCTAGATGGTCAATGCGCTCTTAGCACGTCGACAAACGAGATGGAGGGCGAAGTCCCCGAAGCTTGTCATCACGTCGTCCTGATAGAGAGCCCGAGGGTCGTCGCTGGCAAGGCCGACCCCGTAGTCCCTCAGGCCCGAGGGGTTGTGAATGAGCCCGATGGAGTCCATCACACAGACGGACTCGAGGTTCGCAAGCACGTCCACAAGCGGGGGCAATCCTTTGTCCCAGGCACGTGAGCACCACCACTCCTGCCCCGCACCCCCCCCCCCTCTTGTCGCTCGCCCCCCCTCGCCCCGCCTTTCCGCCCTCGCCTCGGCCTCCCCCGCCCCCGCGCCCGTGTGGCTTCCCCCCCTCCCCTCTCCCCGCCCGCCCCGCTCCCCCCCCCCCAACCGCGCACCTCCTCCCCGCCGTCGTGCCCCGCGCCCGCCCTCGAGGCACGAGCACCGGCGTGAGCACGCAGTGCCGTCGCGGGTTCCTCAACCTCGCTCCTCCTCCTCCTCCTCCTCGTCCTCCTCGTCCTCCTCGCTCCTCCTCCTCCTCCTGGTCCTCCTCGCTCCTCCTCGCTCCTCCTCGCTCCTCGCTCCTCCACCTCCTGCTCCTCCTCCTCCTCCTCCTCCTCCTCCTCCTCCTAACTCCCCTCATTGCCATATTCCTTCTTCTCCTGCTGCTAATCCCCCTGCTCTTCGGCGGCGAGCGGGGGGGGGAAGTGAGGCGGAGAAGGCCTTCTCGGAGTGCGGCGGGGCTTCTGAGGAGGCCTCCGGCCTTCTGAGAGGCTCTCTGTG